GTGTGTATGTATGTATATATGTATGTATGTATGTGTGGGTGTTTATGTATGTATGTATGTTTGTGTGTTGGTGCATGTGTGCATGTATGTGTATGTTTGTGTGTTGGTGCTTGTGTGTGTATGTGGTTGGTGTACATATGCATGTATGTATGTTTGTGTGTGTGTGCATTTATATTGGTATGTATGTACGTTTTTAATTATCTACATATTAGTGTGTATGTTAATATCTAATGGCTGTTTGCTGTTTGTCAAGATATTTTTACTCTGATGCTCTATTACTAATGTTTGGTGTATTGATATTAGTTGTAACAATAAAAGTAGCTAGTATTAGCAGTAGTAAAATATGTATTGAGTAACGTTGGTAGTAAAAACCTCACCCTTTCCAAATACCAGCCACTAGATGAAGTTTCACGTGTGGAACGAAATCATGAAATAAGATGCAATATCGCATTTATCACATTTTTTATCATTTGATGATGATGATAAGGGTTAAAATAATAATGATGATGATGATGATGCAAATTGATAAAGATGATGACACTGACAGTTCGGATGATGATGAAGAAACCGGGAAAACGATGCTGATGAAGGTGGTGGAGATGGTGGTGGAAAAAGTGATGAAGATGATGAGTCGTTGTAATAATGGTGACATTGAAAAATCGAAAATCCACACCAATTTGCATTTCTTTCACTTGGTCTCAACTTAAATCTTTTAAAAATGACAATATTTTTCCAACGTCAAAAATGCATACAAAATTGTCACGAGACGCAGATTACTAAAATTGGATTGAACCTTGACTATGGGACTCTTGGTGCTGGTGGTGGTACAGCAAAGTATGATAAGGTCGCTTTTGACGATGTAATAGCGATTCGAGGAAGATGGCAAAGAAGATGATGATGTTTGAGTAAGTGAATCAATATTCTAGCCGACACAATTATACTCTATAAATGTAGTAAACATTAGCCGTGCGTGTGTTCAAGCGAGGCTTCATCAGACCTCGCAAAAAATTCATCAACGAGAAAAAACATGACTTACTCGTCTTTAATATTTCATCAGTTAGTACTTGACCAGTTTTTCAAGCGTGTGCTTCTTCTTTCCTCTGAGTTTAATCCACGCGTGTCATCATGATGATGATGACGACGACGACGATGATGATGATGATGTCGATGATTTAACAGTAATTATTGAATTTTAACTTTCAACATCAAGTTTTTTGCCGCCCTAACTAACGCTAATCAGTTTGAATTAATCATCAGGTGTTATAAATTAACGGAAAGTACGATGGCACGCTCAAACATTGTGTTGCAATAAATTTAAAAAAGCAATTAGAGATGGATTAATATGCTTGCAATGACGTTATTTTTTGCATCAATCTGAGATCTCACAACAGCGTGTAAATCCTAAATTATTGAGCCATTGAAAGTTCACCATCAACTCATATATATGCCAAACGCTAAAACCATTTCATCTTCTTCCTCATTGGCTATTGAGCAATCGCAAGTTCCGCCTCTTGCCGCTTTATAGCTTGTTAATGATGATAGTCTGAATATTGATACGACGAATAGTAGTAATGAATTTGAAATTGTGGGCGGAGTTCAGATATGATTGACGGAGTAATTTTAAAACCATCGAAAAAGCATCGGAGTGAAAATGTAGTTGTAGAACATATAGAAAAGTTGTATGCGCGCTTGTATATGGGTCATGTGCTCCAGCTGCTGCTACTGTTGTTGTTGGTGTTGTTGTTGATGGTGTGTTGTTGTTGTTGTTGATGGCGTGTTGTTGTTGATGTTGTTGATGGCGTGTTGTTGTTGATGTTGTGTCGCTGTGTTGTTACTAATGTCGTTGTTGTTCGTGTTAATGTCTTTTTCGATTTTTTCGCTGTCAACGTTTTGTTGTTGCTTTTATGACGTTTACATTGTTTTTGGTTTTTGGGACTTTGTGTGCAATTGAACAAAGTGTTTTGTGGTTATTAGAGGAGCCATCAATTTCGCTGCGGTTGTAGCGTTTTTTATTTGGTGATTACATCGCTGTGCTTGTTGTATGTTTATTGTGATGGCGTGTTTTATGTGAGGATTGTTGTTTGATTGAATCGTTGGTGAAGCCACCGCAGAGGCTGTTGGGACTGTACAGTCGTTGGCAAGTTTTGTTACATTTATCGATTTCGCTGGTAAAATATTTGCGCTCATGTTGCTGCAGTTGACGGCATGCGGTAGGCAAACATGCGCGCTGTTGAAACACTTCAGAATATTAAATAAATATAAAGTACATTTGTGTGCTTCTCAATGTCAAGTCTGTTATTAGTTATTCCAACTGTATGGTGACTGTCGGGCATGGAATGGTCGCTATGCGTGTTGCTGTCGTTGATGTTGGTAGGCATGGAGGAGTACTTCCGCGATCATTATTATTATTATTATTATTGCATCTGTATTGTTATTTCCATGTTTTCCATCTTCATCTGTTATATCTCGACGTTACCATAACGTGTATGACCACATTTGAAAAATAAAAGTTATTATATATGGATATTTTTATAAGTTTTAAAGTTTTGGTATAATCATGGTAAGTTTGTTTTTTTTTATATATGAAATGTTTATTATTAATTATTTATATATTATTCATTATCTAAATTTTTATTTGAATTGTTTTATCACTAAATTTTAGAAATTTTTCCATGTTTTGTTGCTGCGTTGCCAATGAAGTGAGGTAATAATACATTATAAAACTGCCAAACAACAACGCTACACAAAACGATACGGTTCGATATGACATACCGATACTGAAATAAAGCCTCGATATATGTATGTCGTATCGACTCGGTACATCGAAACAAACCGAGAAATACAAACGATTAGTAAATAGTTCCCCTCGCAACACGTCGGTGTACACAACAATTTGCATTCATTTGGCTACACGGGCCAGTCGAAATTTGATTTGTTGAGCGCCAAAATTTCAACGCTGCCGAGACTAGACGATGCGGTTATAAAAGGGACATTAAAAATTTATGTCATAACTAATGTACACACACACACACACACAACACACACACAGACTCACACATACACACACATACACATATAAACTGTGTGTGTATATATATATAAGTATATACAAATATACATACCACAGTCAGTTATTTGTATTACGTGATAATGGTGTATGCATATATTTGCGTGTGCGCGTGTGCGTGTCTGCGTTTATGAGTTTACGAGCGTGCTAGAAAGGTATTTACTGATTTCCATATTAGCGGAGCCAGTTCGTGTTCATTTGATTTGATGATAATTTACATGGTCGCTCGATGAATTCTTCTTCATTTGATTGCAAACGTTTCAATTTTCAATGTGTCTCTCAAAGTGAAAGGAGACAGTGTAGTAGTTGTCCTTTGTTTCATTACACTGTTCTATGATGGGGTTTATTCTTAATCACCAATGTTGTTGCTGAAAACTTTATAGAAATTTTTCACATATTATCATCATAGCTTTTTGTAGTGAGTATTGTTGAGTGTTGCTACGTGGTCGTCTGTGTTGTTGATGACAATCTAATGTTGCCAATCTAGTTGATGTCGTCGTTAATGTTTTGTTCTCGACGTAATTGTTACATTGTTACAGCGCAAAACGAGCGATGTTGTGATGTTATGGCGAGCGAGTTTTATGCCGTCTGCGACTGCTGATGTAATAAATCCCAGCTAACAGAACGAAACGTTGTTTTATTGCAATAACATGTAACGAACGACCGCCTTCATATGCAACTATACGGTAACCAATATGAATGAATGAATGAACGAATGAACGAATAATGAATGAACGAACGAACAAACGAATGAACGAACGAATGAATGAGCTAGTAAATAAAATTATGCATATAAATCTAAATGCAAACTAGTTTAAATAAATATAATATATATATATATATATATATATATATATATATATATAACGTTATAAATACTGACATAATTACATACATATAAATAAATATACTTACATGTATTTATTTACTCATGTATATTCATGTATGTGTGTTTGTTGTATATATATATATATATATATATATATATATGTATATATATATAATAAACATGATGATACTTTTCACTTCAATGTCTTGTCCATGTCCCGAATGACTTTTATATTTAATTTGAGATTAAATTGGACGTCGTTTAATGAACGCTTTGCAAAATGGATGTAAGATTTTCAATCGAAATGACATTCTTCGTTATGATATATAGCTATGCACTCTCGTTACTAACTCTCTTGTGATGCGTTATTTTTATTATGCTGTTGTGTTGTTGTTGTTGTTGTTGATGTTGTTGATGTTGTTGTTGTTGTTGTTGTTGTTGTTGTTGTTAATCTGTGTGTAATTAGTTACGATGTTGTGTTGAGTTGTTGTGATGTGTTTTAATGTCGTCACTTGTAGTGTCATGTGTTGGTGAAATTTCGGTTGTTGTTCTTTGATGTCAGTCGCTAATTGCTTATTATTGTTTTTAAGATTTCACATAATAACAGGTCGGAATGTTTCAATGAACTGTTCAAAATGTTATTGCTTATTGAATTATATTTTTGAAACTTGATCTTGAAATAGCCACTTCAATTTACTGTACTATATATACACATATTGATGACAGATCTTTTTTCATGAATATCTGTCAGAAATAACATATATGCCATTACAATCTGGTCTCATTCTTTCAACCTTTTTCAACTTTTTAAAAATACTCACTTACTTGTCTAGTTTAGTTTGGCTTTTTGCATCACCGTTACAGCAGCTGATCTTAAAATTCAAAATTATTAACCGCTTCCAAATTGTTACCAGGAGCGCCGTTAAAAATCACAAAAATAGCGACTTGTAAAAAAAAAATATCTATTTAAATAGGTATTTAAATATTTGAAATAATCAAAACTTGAAAAAAAAATTATTAATCATACAAAAATGATAAATTAAAACACTAAGCCGCAATAACGAAAGCAATTGAAGCACACAAACAGTCGGTAACGACAAAAACATGAACGTCGTTAGGCGAACCACGAGAAGAGCGCCGACGACAGCCACCAACTACCGCACGAGCGACATAAAGCATAAACACAATTTTGGTAATGCGGGTGACGTCTGGACATGCGTGTTGACAATGACATCAACCTGCGCTGAAAGTAAACAAATAAAATAATATTCGCAACACTCTCCATTAGCATTGCACTTGGATAAATATACTTTTCCACTGTTATTATTCTCTCTCTCTCTCTCTCTCTCTCTCTCTCTCTCTCTCTCTCTCTCTCTCTCTCTCTCTCTCTCTCTCTATCTCTATCTCTCTCTGTCTCTCATTTTAAAATTAATCCAGAAAAGAATTTCAAATATAATTTAAAGTTATCAGCCTGCTAAATAAATGAATGGATGAATGAATGAATCAATGAAATGTTTTATTTTTATTTGACTTCTTGACTTCCATACACACACACACACACTCACACATACTCATACACACACACACACACAGACATATATATATTTATATAGATATTTATATGCATGTAGAGTAGACGTACGTTTATACATACCTATAAGAATGCATAATAATCAAAAGGTAATCGAACGTGTTTTTACAGTTGGTCACTCGAAATATTTCCATGGTGATGACCGGGTGTCACGTGATGAAAGTGCTATCACGTGGTTGGTTGGTTGCTCGTTGTTTTGTTGTCTATCCGTCCAGTTGTTTTTGTAGTGCTTGTTAAGTTTGCTTGAGTTTAAAATTCACACATACACATGACGTGGCACATGTGCTTTTGTGTTAGTAACAGTTAGTGTTGTTGTTTTTATTGTATTATTGGTTTTTCAGTTTGTATTTTGCAGTTTGGTGTAATTTGAAAATTGTGATTACTGGCTTATTGTTGTGTTGTTATTGTTTTTTGTTTATGTGGTTTTAGTTGATGTGATTTTTGTAAATGATATTGGTTCAGTTGTTTTGTGTTTTATGTTGTTGTGTGAGCGGATTAGCCTGTTGTATACTTGCAGAGATATTTTACTCAAAGTAAAAATGGAAGTTAAATGATTCGTTTTACTCGAATAGAAGAAAAAGTTTAAGCAAATTGATTTTGAAAAGTAGAAATAATATAAGGAAAGTAAAATGATTTCTTTGCAAGTAAACTCAAATAAAATAATTTTTCCGTAGAAACAATTTAGTTATACTTTTTAAAATATTTGGTGCTACAAAATATTTTTTAAAAAGATCTAATAACGATTTCAAAATGTTCGCAAATCCCTTGTTTCATTTTTCAACGCTTTGTTAGTTGTTATGTGAAAATATACTTTCTTTTGAACTATGCGCTATCAGTTGTTTTAAGACTGACAAGTAACCACGTGCTCTTTAAGCTTTCATCTCTTTCCATGACATAATAAATTAACTTGAATTTAACAATATTTAAATTAATATCTCAATCTCTTTGTGAACTTTTGTGAACACTGTCATGTAAAAACTCACACATTGAATCAAACACCCACCAAAACACACGTATGTTATCTAAACATGTGTTGTGTATACATGCAAGCACCACACATGTTAACACATTTTGTAAAACAGACTTCAAAATCTCTGGGATTTCTATCTGGGATTGATATATGGGATAATTCGATAGAAATTAAAATATAATATAGATAGTTACACCAATCCTAGCGATACAATCTTAATTCTACTCGCTTGAAATCAAGTGGATATATAAAATACTTTCATAGATTAATATGTCATAACGTACATGTTTAGTCACATAAAAAGAAGTGCATATTCAAACATACACAAGAACAGATTATACACATGCATGAATATGTATACATATTCAAAGCTGCCAAAAATCCGGTTCACATCCAGAATCATGTGATTTTTGGCAGGAGCCGGATTTCAGTAAAATTTAGAAAATGAAATTCGCCGAAAGCCCTAATTCAAATATAAAAATTTTGATACACTTTATCAGTCAGTTTTACACACAATTAATTAATTTCCACAAAGCGTCAGGTAATGTGATAAGTGATAAACAGAAGAAATAAAAATTGATTGAGACTGCTGTGAACATGAGTTTTAATTGGCTGGCACTGCCATGTGATTGATAACAAACGTAAACACGAACACATCACTCAATGCCTTCCCTCTTTCCTCCGCTAAGTTCTACTCTTTCAAAACAGTTTAATAGGACTTACATTAACAATAGTAATATGAAACAAATATTTTCATTTCGATAATATTTCAAACATTAAAAGTCTACCTATCCTCTTACCAAAGTTTATAACTTGAAACCTTACTTTTATATAGTACTATTGGTAATGTATACATATTTTTGTATGTGAGTGTGTGTGTTTGTCTCTGAGTGTGTGTTTGTGAGTGCGTCGTGTGTGTGTGTGTCTGTGTGTACATACATATTCATGATTCGTATACATGATTGTGAAGTTATATATAAAAGCATTTGTTTGAGAAACCACGATTGCTTTCACTATGAAGACATATTAATATGTAATTCAATATAGACATCTGTTTGCATTCAATTAAAAAGACTCCTCACTATTGTGCCGCACGGATTCAAATGTATTTTACCGACGCTTGATGAATGTTTGCGCTCACTTTCCTCAAATTGTTATGCATCCGTCCTTCTATGAATTTTTACAAGTTTAGTTTAAACCTGCCTTTGATAATATTCATCTGTGTTTTTTAATCGTTCGTTTGATGTATTTATAAAAAAATATTTTTTTAAATTGAAAAATCACTATCGTAAGAAAATTCTTCGAATCATTCCAATCCAGCCTGTACTTCCAACTTATATTCTGAAATATTTCTGCAAGAGTAATAATGAAGAACCGAACCACACAAATACCAACCACATTCCTCTGGTAGGCTCTTAATTTACTGTTACGTAACATATTGAAAGCTGTTACTATTGTGTGTACTGTTTGTGTGGTGTCTGTGGTCGTGTTGTAGTGGCGTGTGGCTGCGTGTGTTCCGTTTGGTGTGCGGCTCACGAACAAGCACACTCTCCAGATTGATTTCTGTTGCGTAATATGTACCGCCCCGCTTATATATATATTATACATATATGTAATATATATATATATATATATATATATAAACACACTCTGTTATCAGTTATATGATAATGAGTGTAATCGGGCATTTTAATTTGGTAATCGGACGTCACGTTATGCCTCGGCAGGTTGATGTTCCCGACGATTCATTGGAATGGGATCACATCCTCACATCCACATTCTTCACGTCATGTCACCAGTAACTGGAGTGCAGGTTACATTAACGTTGAGCGATTAGGATGGTAGTAATATGTATGGGAGTCAGTGATAACATGCCGATATGCGTTGATGATGTCTCGATGATAAAATGAGTGAATGAATACGATGATGATGGAATAAGTGGAAGAATTAATGAATGATGAGACATTTAAATGCAGCGCTTGATGAGGTAGTATGCGTTCAACATTACTTATACTGCTGTATGTTATTGAGTTGAAGGTGCAAGATTGTAGTTGGAAAATAGTTTGGAATTAAAAAAAATATAACATTACAAATGATAACGATGGTAATAATAAAAATAATGATGATGGTAGTGGTGATCTCAAAATGATGCTGACGACGACGACGATGATGATGTTGATGATGATGAACACGCGTTATCACTTATCAGCACCTTTTCAGTTACGCGCCGTTGTTACGCAATCCGCCCTTCTCTCATATCATTGACACTTATAACGCTCTGCAGAATTTACACACGCACACGCACGCACACGAAAACACACACACACATAGACATATATAGACATATATATACATAAGCACACATACATGAATAAACTGACATGTGCATTTATGTATAGGTACTTATACATACACATACACATAGATACAAACGTTTATAAATAAATAACTCAATAGGTAGGATAAAACAAAACATAAATATATATAACATTATTCAGCGTATATATATATAACATAACAAAATCAGATACATACAAATAATTACAAAGACACAAAGTTACAAACATACAATACATACATAAATTGATTCTTTAAACTGCGCACATCGTATTAACACTGCAAATGTTTGCAATGGTGTAGGTGGCTTCATTTTTTTGCACTTTATTTTTATTTTATTTTAATTCATTCACAAATTAATATTTTATTTAATTATTTGTATTATATATAATTAAACATGTACCAAAAGGGAGTGTTTAATGTTTATTTACATTTCGTTAATTTGCATCGGTTAGCGGCAAATAAATAACTGACCGTCCGACTGATTCGAATGTTTATTTGCAAATCACTTTTAATTGACACCACTGCTACCGTTGGATGCGTTTTAACCGCTTATTAATAACGGTGATCAAAAAATAGGAATTTTGCTGGTTAGAAAATTCTTTTTCCACAATTTTAGGGTTTAAATTTTATATAAATTTTAATTTATAAGAATAGCAATAGGCTTTTAAATTATTAAAAAAAGTATTACGTATATATTTGTGCTGTATATTCAAGCAAAATTATGATTAATATTTATGAACCAAAAAAAATTACGCAACTCTAATATAAAACAGGACATTAATTAGAATTAAAAATTGAACAAAACTATGACAAAAACTGATCAAATGAAGAGAGATGGAGAGAAAGATAAAAGTAGAGAAATAAGAAAAAGAGAGAGAAATAAAAGGAAAAAGAGAGAAAGAGAGAGAGAGAGAGAGAGAAAACAAAAAAAAAGATAGATAGAAATACAGATTGAGACAGAGTGAGAAATAAGGATAGAGACATGGAAGTTAGGACAGCAGCAGACCACCTGTTGAGATCAAATGCTAATAATGCCAACCTAATTATCAACTGTCGTTTCATCTTCTATTAATATTAATTGATGACCCGCTCATCTCATCTGATTATGAATATATATGCAATATATACGGAGACAAATGCCGTATACATAAATATATATAATGTGTGTATAAAAATATATACATGTATATGTAATCTTCTATACCGGCAGGCAATCAAAATTTTGATGTTTTATAAACAGTTTATAATTAAGTTATAAGCAGACACGCAAAAAATTGTCATGTATACATTGAGAGAAAGAGAGAGAGAAAGAGAGAGAGAGAGAGAAGAGAAAGAAAAAGAGAGAAAAAAGGAAGAAAGAGATTATATATATATATATATTATACATATATATATTTTTGCATAGACATAATTTTACATTAGAGTAAAAATAATCACTTGTGAACATGAACATTTTAACTCCATACTTCATATCGACTGTTTATCTAGTTGTTATAACTAAGCACTATTATTGAATTAAATACATACACTCATATATATACATATATCTGAAAATTTATTCATTGGCCTCCCAGAAGCAGATGGTACGGAATGTTGCAAGAGAGAGGTTGATCATAAAAATGTAAAAATATTTTGATACTAACATCATCGAGATGGTGTTGGATTTATGCGGCTGGTTAATTAAAATTTATGACGTAAAATAATGAAATCATTTTATCATTAAGTAGGTTGTGGCAAACACACACACTTACACACACTCACACACACTCACGCACACACGCACACACACATATATACACACACATTTCAAAATAATAAGTAACATGTTATATTTTTATATAATATTAACGGCATCCCATTTAACTCATCATTCATTCCTTTAATCATTAATTCATTCACTTGTTGCTTGTTTATACATTTATTCATTCATCCATCTATTCATTCGTTTAGCCATCCTTTCAT